ACCCAGATGGGCACACCTCTGCTGCCCCCTCTATTCATCCCACAAAGGGGGCTGTGGTTGGCTGGGCCCCAGGCCAGGCAGGCAGGTCTCAGGTATGAAAGAGGCAGTTTCTGCCCCCAAGGAGCTCTCTGCAGCCTGGTAGAGACAGACAGTGGGGAGAAGAGGAAGCATGCCTGGCCCAGAGCAGGCTGATCCACCTGCATCCACCTGCTTCAACCTCAACTTCAACCTCAACCTGCATTTCAAACACCAAAGACTAGCATGGGGGGAAATGAGGAAGTGGGAAGAAAGGAGTGTAAAGACAAGCCCCACCTCAGGGCAGGACAGCTTTCTGGAGGAGGTGGTGTTTGAGTATTAATAGATATGAGGGAGTAACTGGATGGAAGGCAGTGGAGGTGAGAATGAGAGGTGCAGGTGCAAAGGTCCAATTGAGAAGCGCAGGGGGTGTGAAGAACAGCTCTGCAGTCAGATTTCCCAGGTGCAAGAGGCTTCGTGTGTCAAGTTAAGGGTGCTGGCCTTTACCCCAAGGCAATCCATAGCAGAGCTGCTGTGGTATGGGCAAATCTGTACTTTAGAAAGAGGGATTTGGGGGCGCCTAAGTGGCTCTGTTGGTTAAGCATCCGACTTCGGCTCAGGTCATGATCTCATGGTTCGTGGGTTTGAGCCCTGCATCGGGCTTTGTGCTGACAGCTAGCTCAGAGCCTGGAGCCGGTTTCAAATTCTGTATCTCTCTCTCTCTCTCTGACCCTCCCCTGTTCATGCTCGCTCGCTCGCTCGCTCTCAGAAATAAATTTAAAAAAACATAAAAAAAAAAAAGAGGGCTTTGGCAATATATTGGAAGGCAAATTAGAAGGGGCAACACCTATCAGAAAACAAATTAGAAGATTACTGCACTGAGGAGAGACTGGAGTACTCAACTAAGCCAAAGGAAGACAAGAGAATTAATTCGGAAATGACATGGTGGTAACCGGAAGCAGCATATACAGGAGTGCTAGAGTCAAACTCCACTGTGGGTCTTGGGGGAATTACATGCATGTATACATACACACATACATATACATATATGTCACCTATTTATATCCATATTAAGTTTATTTTGAGACAGAGCACATGCATGTGGGAGGGGGCAGAGTGAGAGAGTGAGGGAGAGAATCCCTAGCAATCCCAAGAATCCGTGCTGTCAACATGGAGCTTGATGCAGGGCTTGATCTCATGAACTTTGAGATCATGACATGAGCTGAAATCAAGAGGATGCTTAACCAACTGAGCCACCCAGGTGCCCAGGGCAAATTCTGGTGTCTCATCTGGGAAGTGGGGATGGCAGTACTAGCACCTGCTTCGTGGAACTGGTGGAGGGCTGCACTTTCGTTAACACAATGGAAAGCTTAGCGTAGAGCTTAGCACCTCACCTTACACAGGAAGTGCTAAGTAAAATTATGGGGCTCAGAAAAAAAGGAAGGAGGGGCACCTGGGTGGCTCAGTCAATTGAGCATCCAACTCCAGCTCAGGTCACGACCTCACAGTTCCCGAGTTTGAGCCCCACATCGGGCTCTGTGCTGAGAGCTCAGAGCCTGGAGCCTGCTTCGGAGTCTGTGTCTCCCTCTCTCCCTGCTCCTCCCCTGCTCACACTTTCTCTCTCTCAAAAATAAACATTAAAAAAAAACCTTCAAAGAAAACCTCATGTTTAAAAAAAAAAAAAAAGGAAAGATAAAAGAAGGAAGGAATGACTAAGATGGCTCCTAGTATTCTGGTGTGGAAACTAGACCTGCAGTTGTGTGTGTGTGGTCTGGGAACTACGGGGATCCCAAAGACCCGGTCAAGAGGGCCTACACGCTCAAAACTGTTTTCATGGTGTTAATGCTTGCTGTGATGATGCAAATGCAGTGGTGGTTAAAACTGCTGGTGCCCTAGGAAATCAAGGCAGGGGCACTGAACTGTACTAGTATAGTTGTCACTGTACTACTACTCACCATTAAAAAAAAAAAGCCTCATTTATTGATGAGGCAATAAAAGGAAAGGAATAGTCTAATGGGCAACTCAGTATTAAAATCTGAAAGGATTTTTTTAATGATGTGTTTTGCTAAAATGGATAATAAACAAGTTTAATAGTAAAAAAAACCCGTTTTATTCTTCTCTTTATGTAAGATATACTGGTTATCATTTAGCCATATTCATTTTTGCTTAATTTCACATAAGCTCTATGACAAGAAAAGTATTAAAAATACTCAGGCCAAAGCTAGAACAATTTGAGCAACAAGACAAAGTATAATTGAATTATAATTCAAAGTATACAATAATTTTTAAAAGTAAAAAATAATTATTCCATGAGTGTATACTGATATAAACCATTGAATGCATTAATAAACGGGAGAAAAAAGACAAATCTAGCAGAAGAACTCCAAGTAAATTATGTAGATATTTTACCCTAAAGGAGGAGGGGCCTGACTCCCCACTCCTTCCTTGTGGTCTGCAGAAAGTGACTTCTTTCCAGGCAGTATAGTATTTGAGGGTGGAGCTGAGGGAAGTAATTCTACAAATACTATGGGGTGATGAAGGTCAACATCAACAGTCATAAACGATGATAGTATGTACCCTTGATACGCAGTGAAAATAGCATTTTACTTCTATGATCTTTTTCCTCCAAACCCATAACCTCAGTTTAACCATTAGAAAACATAAGACAAATTCCACTAGAAAGGCATTCTACAAAGTATTTGACCAGCACTCATCAAAACTGTCAAGGACTTTAAAAAGTAAGAAAAATCTGAGAAACTGTCACAGCCAAGAGGAACCTCAGGAGACATGAGCTCTAAATGTGGTGTTTGGATCCTGCAGCAATAAAAAGACATTAGGGCAAAAACTGAAAATCTGAATAAAGCATGAACTATAGTTCCTAATAATGCACTGACATTGATTCACATGGTAATAAATGTACCACAGCGATGTGTCAGTAATAGAGAAAACTGGGAGGTAGTAAGGGAGGGAGAAGGAATGTATGGAAGCTCTGTTCTACCTTCTCAATTTTTCTATAAATCTAAAAACTTCTAAATTTAAAAAAAAAATGTTTAATGTTTTATTTCTGAGAGAGAGACAGCATGAGCAGGGGAGGGTCAGAGAGAGAGGGAGACACAGAATCCAAAACAGGCTCTGGGTTCTGAGCTAGCTGTCAGCACAGAGTCCGACATGGGGGTCAGACCCAAATGTTTACTCATTTTTGAGAGAGAAAGAGAGAGGGAGAGAGAGAGAGAGAGAGAGAGAGAGAGAGAGAGAGCTAGCAGAGGAGGAGCAGAGAGAGAGAGAGAGAGGGAGGGAGACAGAATCTGTCAGCACAGAGCCGGATGCAGGGCTCAACCCCATGGACTGTGAGATCATGACCTGAGCCGGTCAGAGGCTTAACCGACTGAGCCACCCAGGCGCCCCAAACTTCTAATTTTTTTTTTAATGTTCATTCATTTTTTGAGAGACAGAGACAGTGCAAGTGGGGGAGGGGAAAAGAAAGAGGAAGAATCTGAAGCAGGCTCCAGGCTCTGAGCTGTCAGCACAGAGCCTGACATGGGGCTCAAACTCACAAACCATGAGATCATGAAGTCGAACACTTAACCCACTGAGCCACCTAGGTAGCCCTAAATCTAAAAATGTCTAAAAAAAAATGATTAATTTTTAAAAACCCTATTATTCATTGGGAATAATTCTACCATCCATCACTCTAGCCTTAGAGAATTAAAGTTCGATAATGCGATATCCTATGCATGACTTAATTCGGTATTTACTAAGGTCTTCCTTGTATGCCTCTGAACTGCTGGGTAGCTGCTAGAAAAAGACGAACAAAACAAAATTCAAGGCCTAGTTGGAGATAAAAGACATTTAATAGGTAATTATTGTCCTGTGAGGTGAGCAGAACTGAAGAGCACAGACATGGATTTGGGAAGGTTTCACAGAAGATACGGCAAAGGAAAGGCACAGAACCAAGAAATAGGTAGGCTGGGCCTGATTTTTTTAAACCTGTGCTTCTAAAAACCTTTGTTTTTCTCCCTATTTTTTCCTGAAAATGAAAGCACTGTAGAGGCCAATACTTTATTTATCATGGTGTTTTAACTCTGCATGAGCGATGGGGGAAAAATACTTTAGAAAATGTCAAAATTTCTAAAATTATTACACGTATGTATGAAAGAATTTCATACAGTTCAAAGTAAGTGACTTTTAAAACTAGGATCAGTGAGAAAAGAGGGAGCTAAAAAGGAAAGCGTAAAAATATGAAATAAAGATAACATTAAACCATGATGTCTAAGGAGCCTGGCTGGCTCACTCAAGAGTGTGGGACTCTTGATCTCAGGGTGGTGTGTTCAAGCCCCACCTTGGGTGGAGAGATTAAGTTAATAAAACTTAAAAAAAAAAAACCATGTCTAAAGTAACTGCCTAAAAGGACAACTATATGAACAAAACTCTAGGAAACAGCAATAATTCAGCTTTCTGTGTTATTCAGGATCCTTCAAATAACTCAGTTCCTACAGGTGTAAATAAGGGAGGTGAATAGGTGAGCAAAGAGCACTGGGCATCTGCTCTGTGACCCTTACATACAGAAGAGAGGTTCTCTATATACACTGTCAAATGCAATCTTTAAAAAGAGCCTTGAAATGAATGCCTTCTCTCTCTTCTAGAGAAAACCCATGCTCAGAGGAATTCGGTACCTTGCAACACAGCAGGATTGGAACCTGGATCCATCTGAGAGGTAAACTCATGCTCTTTGCAGTCCCACTTAATCACTGGCCAGGTACTTGTAATATGGCAGAATTCACCCTGTTGGTTTCCAGACAAAGTGGGTGAGATGGTTTCTAATTTCTCCTTTACTATGATTGCACTCTCTTCACTTCCTAGTCAAGGGCACTGGCCAAAGTACACTTTTAATTACAGTCTTGTTTACAGGTAATATATTAATTAGCCCAGTGTTGGACATACAGTATTTACACCAAGGGTAATCCTACAAATATTAATCGACGCACCTGGTTTTCAGTATATTTTATCAAATTCATCCATTTAGGCCACCAGTTTTGCTTATGTCAAGGTAACACACTTGTTGGAAGACCTCCCGTTTCTTACCGTCATGTTGTTAGATATCTAGGCTTTACTTACACCTAAGTGTTTTAAGGTGACTGCAAAAGGGAGGCAACTCCTCCCCAAAAGAGAGCGCCATCATTAGCATTATAAATGGTGTCAAGCTTCTCGGGACTGACAGATTCTGGGCCTTTCCTAATTCTATGGCAGCTGAGGCAAGACTCTTCCTATTTCTCCGGGCGTAAATATGGGAGAAAAACAATTACTCTGCCGGCGTCACGAGGCTGTCCCAAGAGTAAGAATCCAAAAGGAAAACGTGAAAAAGAGTTGGCCTTGCGGACCCGAAACCCCGCAGAGCAGCCGTTATTTCTAGGCTCCGCCGAACGGGCGGAGCGGCACAAAGGGCGCGGGGCCGGGCTGCGGGGAGGGGGCCGGGGTTGGTCGCGGCCGCCGCCTCCTGGTGCATCTCGGGAAGGGCTCCCGCCGGGGCCGCGCCAGCCTGGGCGCCTGGGTCTCCCCGGCCCTACCCCAGCGGCTCGCGCCGGGCCAGGGCGCGGCACCCAACCTGGCCGGCCCGCGTCCGGCCCGAGCTGCCGCGAGTCCCCGGGGGTCTTTGTTCCCGTAGGCGTCCGCGCCCAGCTGCTCCCGCCGCAAAACCTGTTTGCGACGTATCAACGGCGTGTCCTGCTTGGAGATGTCCCACGTTGCGGCGCGCTGGAGCGGGGCAGTAATAGCGGCAGAGAGGGTTCCCCTACGTTTAGCTATGGGGGGAGGTGGGAAGAGAACGAAACGCGTCGGGCCCGCCTCCTGCCATTATAGTACGGAGGCGGGCGGCTCCCTCCCGCGCGGGCAACTCGCGCGGGCTCTGCAGGGCGCGCTGGCGGCGGCGGGGCGGGGCCGGGCGGGCCCGGGGCGGGCACGTGGTGGGGCAGTTCTCCCGGTCTGACCCCAGAGAGCGATGGGGTGGAATCCCGCCCCCGCTCTTGAAAGACATTTAACTCTTGGGAAGCCCCGGAACTGCAGGTCCGGTGGACAGGAAGGGAGGGTGAAGCTTAGCGCGAACGTTTCCTGCGCGCGGGGACTTAGGAGTGGGAATCCGCCTGGTAGGCGCAGGGGGGCACAGTGCGGACAGCCCCACCCCCCGGGAGGTAACCGGGTCGGCGGAGCAGGGAGCTGGAAAAGAGGGTTGCTACGAACCTCCTTCGGCAAGCTGGAGCAAAGTGCAAGAAAGGCATTCCTGAGTTTGGCTGCGCTGGGGCGCTGCGGCTGACCCCGGTGGTCCCAGACCCGCCGGGTGGCGCGCAGGGACACGTGTGGCTCGCAGTGCACTCGGCTGTGTTTACATTCTGCAGCCTCTCCACGTTGTGCGGCCGTTCTCGCCTCCCATTGGCCAGCTCCGCAGCCAAAGTGGCGCTCCTCCCTCAGGGGCGGGCCCTCCTGGTCCCCGCTTCTCATCCGAAAGAACCGGGTTCCTTGAGCCCATAGCGGGACAGCCAAAGAGCTCCACAGGATGGCCACTTCCTGGCTACTCTGTGCTCACCCGTGTCGCCTCCACCTGGTCGTAAGCCGGGACTGAGCCGGTGCCCGACACCGACGGATCCAGGCGTTGAGGGCCGGAGGGAACTGGAAACTACTGGCGGGAGACGCGGAAGCAGAGAGGGCGGGAGCCGACCTTGGAGGAGGAGCCTCTGCGAGACTCCTTCCCGCCGCCGGGCAGCGCAGGCAGGTGAAGCGAGGAGCAGGTGAACGCGAACTGAGGGCCTTGGCTAGCGGGCCTGGCCCCTCTGGGTGGGCGGGCGCCGACTGAGAGCGGGGCGCGGCGCGCCGGCCTGCGGGGCGGGCGCGCGGGAGAGGGGAGCGCGCAGTCCGGAGGTGTCAGTCTGAGGCGCATGCGTGCGGGGCGGGCCCGGCCCGGCCTATATATTGGGTTGGCGCCGGCGCCAGCTGAGAGAGGAGCGGTAGCGGGTCCTACGGTGAGGAGGTGCTGGGCGTAGGGAGGCGTGAGGGAGGAAAGAAAGCCCCCGGGGCCGATTCTTCCCGCGGGCGGGAGCCTGGGGGAGGAAAAATGGGAAGGCTGAGGATTAGGCGGCTGGGGGCCGGGGGGATGGCTCCCTGCGTTCCGTCCCTGTCAGGATCTCTGGCAGGGGGCCGGGGAAGTGGCGGGTGTGGAGGGCTGCTCGAAGGGGAGACCAAGGAAAATGCCCTCATTCTAGGGGCTGCTCTCTCCCACCCTCTTTAGGGGAGCTCTACCGTGCGACAGGGGATAGGGATCTGGGTCCCTTCACGGGGAGTAAAGCTCCCCAACCAGCCCAGCTTCCCCCTTTCTTTAATTTTCTTTCCTTCGCTCCCATCCCTTATCTGGAGTCGGGGTCCCAGTCCCCCTCCAAGCGGCAGACAGGGCCCGACGGGGTTGGTTAGGAGGGAAAGGAGACTGACTGAAGGACGTGACACAAGTCTCAGTTCCCTCCTCCCCCTGCTTCCCCGCCACCGCCGCTCTCCAAATTGGCGCGGAACCCGCTTCTCCACAGCCTATCGCCTCCACAACTCCCTCTCTCTCCGCTGCTTGTCCAGGATGGAAGGGGGGACGTGGGAGCGCTGCCCGGGCCCCCCTGGGGTTACGGGAGAGAGGATGGAGGGCGCAAAAGACTCATTTGGGGGAGATCTCCCTCCTTGCTGGTGGTGCTTTGTAAATTCTTGAAGACGCTCGCGTCCCGGTTTTACGTTCAGTTGAGACTCAGGCATGTGTCCAAAATTAATCCCGTGAGATACCCATTGTAGTGCCTAAGACAGCACGGCAGAACGACTCAGGCCAGCTCCTGAAGGGCTTAGCTGTAACCCCTGAATGAGCGTCTGACTGGCACCTGGGAGAATATGGTGACAGTATATTTGACTCTCATTTTCCCTCTCTCCTTGCCAGAGCTTTCACACACCTGAAAGGAGAGAATGTCAAGACGAAGGTAACATTATTTGTCTTGTATCTATGTTTAAAAGTTAGCTGCTGCGTTTGAGACTCATGACTTCTAAAACTCTCTTTTAAAAACTTCACTGTAGTAGCCGTTTGCAAGCTAAGCAGCAGCCCCAGCCCAGCCACACGGATTCGCCTCAAGAAGCCCAGATAATTCAGGCCAAGAAGAGAAAAACAGCCCAGGTGAGTTAAGGGGAGAGTGAGGAGAGAGGAGATTCTTTGCTGGGACTTTAGTTTAACAGTGGCCCTTTCTATTTTCCAGGATGTCAGAAAAAGAAAAGAGGAGGTCACCAAGAGACATCAGTATGAGATTAGGGTAAGCAGAACTGGACTGAGGGTAGGGGGAGGGAGTTGAGGGAAACAAATGCAGGACAAATAAAAATTGGATAGAATTGTGTTATTGCTATGCAACAGAAAGATACCTCTGATTCTTTTACTTTGAATGCCCCCAGAGGTCAGTAGGAAGGCACTGATCTTTGGGCGGTTTGTATGTGTCTAAACCCTACTACAGCTGCAGAATAAGTTTGCCTTGAAGCAGCTGGTTCCTCTTTGTAAATCCCTCCCTCTTGGAATCGCCTGGTGCACTAGGGCCCGCCTAATCTGTCCAATGTACTTGCTCTTTGTTCCCTCTCTGGCTAGTGGACGGTCCTAATAGCTGCTCCTTCGGGCATAAATAGGATGTGAAGTCACGGACAGACTGGCACCCAGCCCTTTGCTACCTATTTTGTGTGTGGTACAGAGAACACTAAAGACATGGTTCTCTTTGACACCAGCATTGGTTGGGGGAAGGGTCCTTTAAAGTAATTGACTTTGGTTGATTCCATTTTAAGGTTTTGCCTTATAGTATTCTGAAATATGGAAGCAGGCTTAAAGGGTTGGGGGGTAGGGAGGAGGGAGGAACTTTTTATAAAAGAAGGTGCCCTTTGCTACTATTCTAAAAAGGGAGAACTTCAGTTTTTTAATCTTGAAAGTGTTTAGCGTTTGACTATAGATGAATTTTTATTTCCTCTGCCAATGCCAAATGTCTTGTATTTTCAGAATTATATTTTGTTTTGTAAAACATTCCACCTTTTATACTGTTTGAAGTTCAGTAAGAGCTCTATGGGTTATTTATAAAATGTCAACTAGATTGTCAGCAACATTAATGATGGTGTTTGGGAAAAACTGTAGACTGTTTAGAGATATTAGCTTCTATTTACAAAAGATCCAAGATAAAAAGCTGATTTTCTATTGCACAAATTTTTTTTTAATGACAGAATTGTTGGCCACCTGTATTATCTGGGGGGATCAGTCCTTGTATTATCATTGAAACACCTCACAAAGAAATAGGAACAAGTGACTTCTCCAGATTTACAAATTACAGATTTAAAAATCTTTTTATTAATCCTTCACCTTTGCCTGAATTAAGGTAAGGAAATGTTTTATAATGTCAATTAAAATTGTACTAATTTAATACGCCATACTATTTTTTGAGTCCCGTTTTGCCTTCGCTATAAAAACATACAAAAACTGCTTTATTAATATTTATCTATGTATTTTAAGAATGGTGCTGTTTGCAGAGGATATGGGTATTTAAAATACTGCTTTTATGAAGTTATTTTCATTTGTTTGAATACGGTAAGCCTCATTAGAAGAGCTGATTTTAATCACCTTAAAAAAATTTTTTTAATACTTATTTTTGAGAGAGCACAGGTGGGGGAGGAGCAGAGAGGGAGCACACAATCTGAAGCAGGCTCCAGGCTCTAAGCTGTCAGCACAGAGCCTGATGCAGGGCTCGAACTCATGGACCAAGAGATTATGACCTGAGCCAAAGTTGGACACCTAACTGAGCCACTCAGCTGCCCCTTTTTTTGTTTAAAAAACTTTTTTTTAACATTTATTTTTGAGAGAGTGAGACAGAGCACGAGTGGGGGAGGGGAGCTGAATACCTTTTAAATGGAGTTTAACTGAGTTCTCTAAATTAAGATGGAAGCATTTTAACATGTATGACATTTCATTTGATGTATCAATTGTATTTATTTCCTGCCAAACTAAGTAAGATCTATATTCTTTTAATGAATATGACAGAGGTACAGCTTATACAAAGCACGTACTGCAATATTATTTGGCTCTAATATGCAAACTAATGGACTTAGACATTTAAATTTACCAACCCTCCCCTTTGCTGTACTCTGTACCAGCTACCCCCACTTCAGGTGACTCTACTATTGATGATCTATTTGGAGATAAGATTTGTTTCTACTGGGATTATATGCTTAAATATTTAAATCATTAGTGTTGCTGTTGAGAAACATGGTTATATTAAAAAGAGACTTTATAAATGGGGAAAGTACCCTTGAAATCCAGTCTAAGTTCTTGCTGTACAATTTCAAGCTTCTGTTTTTTCATGCTAAAGAAATGGTTTCTAAAAGTAGCAAT